CATGCCCGTCTGCCCCCTGACCCAGACCAACGCCCTCTTCCTCGCGCGCCAGCGCAAGGCCTTCCAGACGGGTCAGCCGGGTCCCGACTTTGACACCCTCAGCGGCCTGGGCAGCGAGGCCTCGCACATTCAACGCCCCGACGCCGCGACCATCGAGCGCTACGGCGGCGTCGAGGGTCTGCGCGCCATGGGTCTCGCGCCCTGGGACATTGAGCCCGCCGGCGCACCGCCGCGCTCGGTGCCCGCATCGGATGCAATGGACGTCGACGGCGGCGAGCCCCCCCCAGCGTCGGCGCCGGCCGAGCAAGACGACGACGAAAACGACGCGACGCGCTCGGCGTCGAGCCACAGCGAAGCCGAGGCCGAGCTCCTGCGCCTCGCCAACATCATTCTCTTCCCGAGCCGCTATGACTTTTACATCCCCGGCGGCTCGGGTCGCAGCGGCAGCGGCGACCGCACGCCGCGGACGGGCCTCGTGTCGGCGCCCGTGCTCAACAACGGCATCACGAGCGGTGCCGTGCCCGCCTCGGCCCCGGCCGCGTCCTCGGCGCCCTCGGTGCCCAAAACCAAGGCGCCGCCGCCCAAGACGACCGTCAACGGGCCCAAGACGGCCGTCAACGGGCCCAAGACGGCCGTCCACGGCGCGGGCCCGACGGCCACGGCGGGGCCCACCTGACGGCGTTGGTTGAAGGGGCGATGGCGGCGCGGGCTCGGACGGAGGCTCACGGACGGTAGTGCTGGCGGCGACGACGACGCCACTACCGACGGTGAGTCTGCCGTCCTCGACGAGCCCGTCGCGGCCGCTGTGTCGGGGGAGCGGGACGCCGCGCCGAAGACCCTCGGGTCTGAGGCGCAGGCTGTTGCCGTGGCGGGGACCACAAAGGCGCCCGTCACTGCTTCGGTCACGGTCACTGTTACGGAAACGAGGGCTTGATTCATGTTGTAGCATGGGGCTTGTCTCTGTTAGACTTTTCTGTTGCGGGTGACTGTTGCGCGTTCTGTGGTGTGTGGGAGATTGAGAAGGTTCGCCCCTTCAACGTGACGCCAGATGGCATAGATTATGGAGTGTTAGTGGGTTGGTGGAGGCGGTGCAGACGTCAAGGATGCGACGTGCATATGAATGAACGATGGGAGCACGAGTGAAAGCACGAGTGAAAGCACGAGAGGTGGGAGAGCTTGGAGGGAGTTGATCCGATAGAGCAATTCACACGTTGCTGCTTGTGGTTCGGACATGGTCGAGTTTTGCGGTTCGCTGTCGTGTCATCGATCCAGGGCGTGCTTTCGAGCGTGCGGCGATGCTGGTGAGACGGCGACGGTGTTTGGGGGAGATGCTTGGAGGCAGTCGTATATACCTAGTTCCATCGACTGGTGTTGTTTGGCTTCATGATGCCGCGCCCTGCCAACTCACTGGAGGCGGGCTGTTGGCTTGGAGGACTTTGGGACTGCCGGGCTGCTACGCCTTGGCTTTACGTATATATTTTCTCATTCTATACAAGGCGTGAAAAGGTTCGTCGGACTTGGTCTCTTGTGTCGTTGCCGTTGTGGTGCAGTGTAATATGCACGTTCATTTAGGAGTATCGTCACCAACTCCTAATTGCGAGGTGACCTTCTGAGTGCTTATACTTGTAGTACAATCAAGCTGTTGACATATCTTTGGTTGTGTAGAACATCAAAATGCTACATGATAAATCATTCCATTCATAGCCACTGGATAAAAGGCCGCAGGCATCTTCGCGGCCTACGGTGCCCTGGATGACCATGTCTCGTATTGACAACCTACTCCCGAGGCCTCCATTCCATCTGCACGGAAGACTAAAAGCTTCCATTATCGCTCCTGGCTTCTCTGGCCGTCACCAACCCGCACCTTATCTTCCAACTTCATCCAGGAGCTCTCCTACATTATAATAGAGATTGAAAGCCCACAAGGAATTATCCACAGTCCCTCTTTTTTCTCTACTTGGATAGCAACTGTGTTTCCTGCCCTCTCTGGCATGACCGACAGCAAAGATGACGTCGAAGCCAAATCGCCCTACCCAGGAGTGAATACACCTTGGCGCTGCTGCCTTGATACTGTACAATGTCGCAGCTCCCCTAGGTAACGGCCATCAGGACGCATATAACGATCGAGGCAACACGTATGTAAAGGGATTTTTGGAGCGAGCTTAGAATGAAATGCAGGATCGACAAGGTCTTGCTCACCGCCATGCCCCCTAATAGGTACCATGGTTTCCTTGATCAGCGACAATCAAGCCAGAACCCTATTCTGTCTTAGTATCACTGTATTTCGTTATAGCTCCGGCCTCTGACGGCCTCTTCGAGAATTCTCTTACTCAGTTCAAGAAAGAAAACGTAGGCAACACGTAGTCTGTTTGGTCTATCGAGGGATGCACTACATGGTCAACCAAACACAGAACTGGCTGTCATGAACCCCTCACAATGGTGCCTGTCGCAAGAGTAGACTTCTTCATTGAAATTCTGTGATGAAAGCTCCAGGCACCAACACGTATAGTCGTTTGAGTTTGTATCGGCAGAGTCGCGAATCGCACTACCAGGCGCAGGGGTCAGGGGTCACGACCCCGGGCCCTCGACCTTGACTAGGTCATCCATCTCCCACCGAAGCCCGCCAGAACTGAATCAGAGTTCAACGACGATGTAATTAGAGAAGGGCGCATTGCGTTGTAGGGAGCATCCTAGCGTTGGGTGCTTTCCCGATGAGATCACCGAGCATTCTTTGTCGTGGTGGGGCATCAGCCGACTTCCGATCATCCGACGATTGACTAGCGAACACAGCCCTTTCGCGACAGAGCGAGGAAATGTGCGAAGATGATTGTTCCTTGCCCGGCTTAGTAATATCGGGACAGGGCAACGGCAGTTGCTCTCTGGTGGACTCATTTAAGCTCGCGATCTTGGTCCAGCCTATTCATGATTTCAACCTTCACGAAGAGAAATGTTAAAGTAGGCCTGCTGCGAGAACATCACACCATGGAAGCAGAGCTTTGTCCCTGGGAGGACACCATCATCACTGCCGCTGCATCTGGCAACACGGACGAACTGCAACGAGAACTCGACAAGGGCACAAACGCGAACGCCAGCGACCACGAATATCAACGGACGCCCCTGTACTGGGCTGTTCTCGGAGGCCATGACGCCACCGTGCAGCTGCTGCTCTCGCATGGCGCCGATTCCAACACGCCCGAACCAGCCGGCGGAAAGACGCCGTTATCGGTGGCTGTCGCCGGGACGAAAGGAGGCCACAAGTCTGTCGTGAGGCGTCTGCTAGAGGCGGGCGCCGACACAGACACGCCTGACATGAGCGGGGACACGCCTCTGATCGTAGCCGCTCGCAACGGCAAGATTGACATGATGGAACTTTTGCTGGATGGCGGAGCAGACCCGGATATTCGCGACTGGAGACGCGGGCAGACTGCGCTGTCGCTTGCGGCAGAAGCCGGTCATGATGGCATGGTCGACTTGCTGTGTCGCCACGGCGCCACGGCGAGTCTTGCGGATGACCACGGAATGACGCCGATGGCGCATGCACTGGAGAACAATCACGAGGACGTTGCTCGCAGATTGGCGGATCACGAGGCGCTTCACGATCCGCAAGTCGCAGCCCAGATTCTGTCAGACACACTGGCAGGCGTGAGAGCCAAGATAGTTGATCCCTACGGAGATCTGGGAGACGAAGTAGCCCTCACACGGGCTGCAGCCGATGGCTGTGAAGATGTTGTCAAAAGAACCCTCGAGCATGGCGTCAATGCCGATGTTACAGACGAAGATGGACGGACGCCACTTTCTCATGCAGCCGCTAACAACAATATCGAGATTGCCACACTTCTATTGGGCAAAGGCGCCAACGCCAATTCCCGAGATAATATGCAGTGGACGCCTTTGATGGCTGCGGCTGAAAGAGGGCACGAACAAGCCATTTCTCTGCTTTTGGAGAGGGGCGCAGATGTCAATGCTCGAGGTGACAACGGCATGACACCTCTCCTCCTCATAGCCATGGACGGAAACATAGAAGCCTTGACGCTGTTGCTTGATGCTGGCGGGGACCCGAGCGCCAGGGATGAGATTGACAATCTCACAATCATGGGCAGAGCAGCAGAGGATGATAACGTGGCCGTGGTTGAGCTTCTTCTCGCTCGTCAGCTATCTCCCAGGCAAGATGACAAGACCCTTCTTAATGCCTTGCATAATCGAAGCAAACTTGACAGAGTCGGTACGGATGGCTACAATTTCATCAAGACGCTTGTAGATCACGGGGCGGATGCTTACCTTGATGCCTGGGTCGACGACCGCCCACTTGTGATCGCTGCTGAGCGCGGCATCGAGGACATCGTGGCACTCCTTTTGAAGGCCGAGTTCAGCTCGGCCGCTCTCAGACAAGAGCATATCAGGAACGCCATTTGTGTTGCTGCCGAGGAGGGCGAGGAAGCGTGCCTCAACCTCCTTATGGATGAATATGTTCCTGGTGGCGAGGAAGTTAAGTCTCCATGGGAATGGGCCAAGTCATACCGCCTTGGGAGGTCCTACGAGCTCTTGAGACCTTATTTCGACCCGAACAGGGGGAACAGGCAGGAACCAGACGGCAGCGATGATGGTAAATGAACCGGTAATATTTACTCGGTTGGCAGAGCGGAATCAATCGACCATGATGGATGGTTGCCTATTTTGTAGAATGGGACGACTTCTGCGTTTCGTCACAGAGCGATGTACCAGCCTGTATGAAACCCGCAAACCAGTTGCCAGCATTTGTTGGATACGGACTGCAAGCTCTATCAATTGATGGAAAAAAATAGATAAATCTTTGGTATTCATGTTTTCAGACTCCAACTGCCAAGTCACACACGTACTGGCTTGAACCCAAAGGTTCAGTTCTTCAAAATGCCGCCCCGTTGTCTGGTATTGGTATTCGCGATCTTCCCAGGCACATCGATCCACGCTTTCGCAACAAAAGAAAAACAAAGAGACCAACAGAAAGCATGTCATCACATTTTTCAAACCCTTGGGTACTTCTCCAAGATAGCGCGGGCCGGATCCTCCCAGCCCCGTCCTGCCGCGATCTCAAGAATGTTACGGCCGCCCTCATCCTGAGCATCCATGTCGGCACCGCCGCCAAGCTCGACGAGGAGCCTCAGCACCTTGGCGTCGCCATTCTCGACAGCCTGCATCACGGCGTTCCAGCCTCGATAGATCTTGTTGACATCGGCGCCCTTGGCGAGCAGCATCTCAATAATGTCCGTATCGTCGCCACGGCACCGCCTCACAGCCTTGACGATGGGCAGGTGCTCACCGGGTGCGTTGATGTCGGCACCGCCCTCCTCGAGCAGGTAGCGCGTGATCTCCTTGTTGTCCTCGCGAATGGCCGTCGTCAGCGGCGAGAAGACGCCACCGTTGCGGTCCTCGACGCTGACGCCCGCGGCAAGCAGCAGCTTGACGCTCTCGAGCTGGTTGGCGACAACGGCACGCTCGACGAGACCCTTGAAGGCGCGCGGGTCCGAGACGGACGGCAGCAGCTTCTTGAGCATGGCCGGGTGACGCACCGCCATGCAGATGGGCCAGTCATGGCCCCGGACGCTGGGGTTGGCGCCGTGCGCGATGAGCTCGTCCACCACCTCGGGCCGGTTCTCGGCAATGGCCGTCGTCAGCGGCGTGTGGCCCTCCTCGGAACGCGCGTTGGGGTCAACACCCTGATCGAGGAGCCACTGCAGCGCCTCCATGTTGTTCGTGCGGACGGCTGTTTCGATGATGCCGCTGGGCTCGTGCAGGGTGGCGCCAGCGGCTACGAGCGGCGGCAGGAAGTGAGTGCGGAAGTGCGTGACGCACTTTGAAAGCAGGGTACTCGGACGCCAATCAGGTTGGGATCGGCCTTTGTTTGGCGAGGAGGAGCGCAAGGGATAATCGTGGCGGTTATCGCGAATGGCAGTGCACAGAGGGTGTAGATGCCGTCTTTCTTGGAGATTGGGGTCAACACCAGCGGCGGAGCAGGGAGGCGCACCGACTCGATGTTGTTAATGCTAACCGCCAGCTCCATGCTTCCAGGGGCCTTCTTGCTATCGGCCCCACGGGCGAGAAGCAGCTTGAGACATTCTGGCTGATACGATGCCGGCCAAAGCATATGCTTCGGACCCGGGAGGTTGGGGTTCGCGCCATGGTCGAGTAATGCGGTGACGAGATCGGGACGGGCAGCAAAGATGGCTTCAAAGAGCGCAGTCTTACCCTCACGGTTCTTCTCGTTGGGGTCTGAGCCGTAGTCGAGCATGAGGTCGACGAGCCTTTTGGGGGTATTCTTGCTCATGGAGATGATGAGTACTGTGTTGCCGTTGGCCATGATGTGGTTGGGGTCGCCGCCATAGGTTAAAAGAAGCTGAACAAATTCGTACTTGTGGTCAATGACTGCGGTTGCGAGCGGCGACTCCAGTCCGGGGCCGGCAGACAAGTTCGCATCGGCGCCATATTTGAGCAGCGTCCTGGCAATCTCAATAGCCGATACCTCAACAGCAGCGAAGAGGGGTGTCACACCCTCCTTGTCGGCTGTGTTGGGGTCGGCTCCGAAAAGAAGCAGTAGTCTCACGCTCTCGGCATCAAGAGCGATCACTGCATCTACGAGAATGTGAACATCAGGACCAGTCTCGGGGGAGACACCGCGGTCAAGTAGCTGCTCCACGAGTTTGTGGTTCTTTGCATGAACAGCAGCCGCCAACGCCGACTTGAGAGATGTAGTCGAAGTATTGCTATGGCGGGGTGTCCACCGAGGCATGTTCATCGGGTCAGCCTTGAGACGGATGACCTTTGTGGGTGAAGTGTTACCGGTTTCGATGCTGCGGAGGTCGTACAGGGGATCTTCATTTGAACCCACGGTGAGGGCCATGCCGCTATCATGCTGTTCGCGGCCGAGTCCGATCTGCAGGCGGCGCTCCGAGATGCGGCTGGGAGGAGCTTCGTAGTGCCCATGGTCAGAGATGGTCGCATCGTCACGACCGAGTCTGCTGGAGTAGGCGGGCCTGCTGGGCAGGTCATACTGGCCAACCTCGGAGATTGTGAGATCGTCCTGTGCAACATGTCTCCTGTCGATACCCCTGGCATCCGTTGTGCGTGCAATGCCATAGGCGGCGGCGCCGAGGTCGGAGGTGCTCTTCTGACTCCTGTTGGAGATCGAAGCACGTCGACGAGCCTCCGGTGTCAAAGATCTATCGTTCTCCGCCAGGACAAAGTCCGACGCAGAAATCTTCTCGAAAGGAGAGTGAGCGCGCAGATGAGGTGCATGTGACAGAGAGGGCAGGGCCGGTAGAGCAGGCAGAGGTGGCTGCGGTGATGGAAGCGCTTTGAGCGAATGGTTGACGGTTTGAGCTTCGAACGACTTGGCCTTGGAGATGCGGACGGTGCCAGCCCCCTGCTTGTTCTTCATGCGATCCAGAGCCTCGGCGAGGCTGGCATAGCCGCCGCCGACAGACTCATCTGTCTTGCCGTTGCCCAGAGACCACTGGAACACAAGGGCGCTCATCCTCAGGGCATCACGGATCTTGCGCAGCGACTCTCGCATCTTGCTGATCTCCTTGTCGGCGAACATCATGCGCCAGCTGCGCTGGATCTTGCCGAGACCGCCCTTCTTTTCGTATTCGAGAAACTCGAACATCATGTGGTCCAAGACCTGGAAATCGTGGTTGGTCTGGCGGAACTTGGAATCGAGCTCCTGAACCATGTCGGAAGGAAACTCTTGGTTGGTTCGACTGGCCTCAGCCAGGCCGGCCTCGATGGACCAGAGGTGACGACAAACATCGAGGAAGCTCTCAGCAAGCTCGCGGAATCCATGTGGTTGATGCTTGACAGTGGTGAGAAACTCCAGCATGCGAACAGAGATGTTGTTGCCGAGAAGGGTAGACCTCGTGCAAAGGTCAAGGACTGAGTCCTTAGGCTTGGAAGCCCTAGAGTGATCAGCCGCTACAGTAGCCATGACGGAAAGGTTCGCCACCAAGGATGCAGCTGGGGGATGTCGTAGGCGGGAAGAGACACGACGATGGAACGGCAAGGTTCCCAGAGCCGAGAAAAAACAAATCAAAGCAAAGAGAAGGAGCGTCGGAACCGTTCGATTATCCAGACACACGCGGGGGAAGAGCAGCCATGTTTTTGTTTATCAATGTTTCGCCCAGAAGAGGGCTGGCCACACAGGCTTGGGGGCTTGCCTGTTACCTGATCCTGGACCTAGCTTACTCGGGAAGGATTACTACAATACGAATCATAGTCACACCTAATGCAAGGTCTATGATGAGCTAGATGAGCCAAGCGGCGCGCTCGCCGAAAGGACATCCTCGTGCACATGTCCGGAGCCTCTCTTTCTCTCGCCCGTCTTCTCGTTGGCCAAGGCTAGTGAGGAGGCCTTTGACAGATCCCTGGCTAGTAAGATACTATTCACAGCGACAGGGGGTGGAAGAAGACGGTAGGACATGATTCCCTCGTGGCTAGCGCCAGGCACAGACCCGGAAGAAGAGGAATGCCTGGCCCTCTCAGCGTTGACACTAGGCGATCTAACAGCCTTAGACCCTGCCTGTTGGCCCACGCCATATGCCCGCTTTGACACTTGAATAGTCATGTCCTGATATACCTGGCTTGATAAGAGCCGCTAAGGGGGTCAGTCGTCGCAACTCGTCGCGTTCTTTTTTAACTTGCCAGCGGTCGGAGGACGGGCTGAAAATAAAGACCAGGCTGTCGGAACTTCGGCTCACAGGCTTGGGAGACCGCCCGTAGCACTTCCACGTGGAAGCCCACTTGGTCAAACGGCGACTGAGGGGCATCGTACGTCTGTCTCCGGCTCTGACGACTCGTAACTGCCGTGGAGGAGCCTCGAAATGTGATCGATCTGGACGTGTGACAGATGATGAGAAATTGGGCCCTCCACCCACACCAGACCGCAACCCCTCCTTGTTCTAAACGTCACATCAGAGAATCAAAAAGTACCCGTAGATCTTCCAAGGGGTCCGTGGACGTGCAGGAAATGGTCATGCCCAAGGTAACATGTATGTCGGGCTGCTGGTGGCCCTATGGCCCTGTAGGCCCAGTCGCTACAGCAGCATCAAGGAATAGCCCCTGTTCGGGAAGATTACAAAGGTTTCATTCTCGCTTAGTAGATGCACCCCAGGATCCGATGCGCATGCAGGGGTCTCAGAGTTCGTGGGAGAGAAGAACGGAGCCTTGCATCGACAATGCCCCGCTGATGAACCGCCGGAGAGAGAGAGGGGCATGTTTGCCTGCGGCTCGTAGGTGCTGGAACAGCGATCTGGTCTAGCTGAGGCGACCCTACTCTCAGCCGGGAGCTCCGTACGGTTCTAGTCGCTCGCGCCCTTTGTCGAATATAGAGCTACCTACCCCCACATGAGCCCATCACTGGTGGTTGGGACAACAAGAGGGGACACCAAACTTCCAAATCCTGCCACGGCGGCATCCACTCCCCGGGAGCTAACCTAACTCGCTGGCCTCTCCGGCTGGTCGAACGCGTTGGTGGTTGGTGATACGGGTACCAGCCAGGATGATGTGACAAAGCTGAGCTGAACAAGGCCCCCACGACTGGAGCAATTCCGAACACGTCAGATCGTGGGGCCCTCTTACGGCCGAGCTAGATCATCCCGTCTTGGGCTGGCTTGCACTAGCCACGTTGCGACCGAGTGAGCGATCTTTCAACGCCATGAAGCGGATGACCTCCGCGCTCAGATTCGACACTCTGTCAAATCAAGAGCTACAGACAAGTCAAGCAGAGACACGAACTGCGAGGGCACAAGGGGGGATCCTGAACTCAGACCCCGTTGCCGAGATTCGCGGCGTCGGAACATAGTCCTGGTGGCCCAGGCCCCTCGAAGGCCACTCCACTGATGTTCTCTCAGTGTTTGCGCCGATTGACTTTGTGGTGTTCTGCAGATGCCGGGCAATGAGCAAAGTCTGGACGCGGGCGGGTGGCGCTGTTGCGTCAACCGTGGCAATGCTGCGGGTTTCTCACGCATTGGAAGCCCACATATAGGCCCAGTGTCGGCATCTTGACAAGTTTTCGGTGAGTTGAGGGTCAGCCAAGCCCTTGCGCGAGAAGGGTTGCACATACCAAGCCAATATTGGAATTCATTACCGGATCGGGTCGTGTGGCTCATGTGGCATGTACTTTACGTAGAGTGTCAGTCGATCAAACGATAATGAACATGGATGCATCTGGTGTTTTTCTTTTCTCGCTTCGGGATTTTTTTCCCATGCTGCTTATTCGGAAGATCTGTTCATCACAAACATGACATTCGCCAGGCCCTGAACACCTCGAATTGTGGCACTTGGGCATATCTGCATGCGATCTACGATGCCCCTTCACTTGCCGTCTTCTCGCGTGAAGCCCGTTCTCGCGAACGACCGAGCACAGCGCCAATGCTACCCTCCCCCGACTCATGACCAACTGTCAATCACGGCAGCTTAGAGAATCTGGTTTAGCTCACAGCCTCCGGGCTACGGCTGGGGATGTGTGTATCTGACCGTCAGACGCCATGTAACCCCAAACGCTCGCCCATTGCAAGTTCCTTCATGCACATGCGAAGCGAACTTCGGCCCCATCATCATAGCTCCAATGGTTAACCTTGCTAGATATTAGAAATTACCATGGCAGGAAAAAAAAAATGCGGAAAGAGTCCAGCCGGCAAAAGCGAAATGCCATGACGCCGATCACTATGATGGTTTGGTGACCATGAGCTCGGCACCCACTCGCGCAGCCTCCTCGTTCAATGCTTCAATCTCGGCACCCACAAAAGGAATGCCTGTCTTCTCTCGCTCCTCTTGCGTCAGCTGCTCGATTTCGCCCGGAAAATAGATTCTCTCCACGCCAGCCGCCTTCTCAGAGCCGACGACCCGATCGTAAAGGTGCTGCATGCGGGCGCGGAAGTCCTCGAGGCTCATGAACAGGTCAGGCTTGATAGCCATGAGAAAGTGCCCAACATCAGCCGGCCTGGACGGATCGTAGGGGTTCGTGACACCGCCTGCAAATGCAGACCCTGAGAGGGCGCCCGAGAAGACGTCCATCATTATGGACAGCGCCGATCCCTTGGGCCCTCCCATCGGCAGCATGACGCCGCCAAGCGCGGCTTCGGGGTCATCCGTTGGCCTGCCCTCGGCGTCGAGCGCCCAATCGAGCGGAATCTTCTCGCCCCTGCGTTTGGCCTTGTAAATCTTGCCCCGGGCCGCCACGGACGGCGCCATGTCGAGGATGAAGGGCCTGTCGCCGCCGGGGGCGCCGCACGCGATGGGCGAGACGCCCATGAGCTTGCTGCGGCCGCCCCAGACGGGCAGCGCGGGGCTCGAGTTGGTGAAGACGAGGCTCATCATGTCGGCGTCCAGCGCCTGTTGGACGACCCAGGCGCTCATGCCAAAGTGGTTCGAGTGCGCGACGCTCGCCATGCCGATGCCATAGACCCGAGCCGACTCAATGGCCGCCGCCATGCCAGCGTGGGCCGCGACGAAACCGAAGCCGTTTTGGCCGTCCACGTGTGCCACGACAGGCGTCACTTGACACAGCTGGGGCTGCGCAGCTGGGTTGAGGACGCCCTGTCGGATGCGCTCCATGTATGATGGGATGCGGTTGATCCTGCCATGCTGTCAGCGAGGGGAGATCGTCGTCTTCAAGGGGCCCCCGGAGCGCCATGTGTCAATGGGAGCGCTTACCCATGGGTATCGACGCCTCGCAAATCCGCGGCGACGAGGTATTTGGCGACTATGGCGGCATTTTCGGCAGGCACCCCGTTTCCGCTCAGAATAGCTTCGACGAAGCGAGTGGCTTCTTTTGCTTCAACAAAGATCTTGGTGGATCCAGGGGCTTCTTCTTGGGCAGCCATGATGTCTCTGCGGATCCGCCAGTGACGGACCTTCGTTGCCGAATCGGGCAGTCGGCCGTGGTGATGTGATGAACCTGGGGGGGTTTGACCTGTCTGTGCGGGTATTGCTTGGCTCGCGCGGGGGGGGGTTGTTTGCAAGTGAGACAGGCTTGACAAGCGAAGATCGGACTGTCACTTTTATCTCCGTAGATTGAGGCGCAAGGTGGATATGTAGGAAAAGAATGGACGCGGAAGAGGGCTGTCGAAACGAGTGAGCGCTGTGAGAGAGGTCGTACCGATTCGGAAAGACGCCGTACTGTGCGGAGTGCGACCAGGCAAGACGGACACGTGCCGTTTTGACTCATGTCTCTTTGACGGAGTTTTCCCGCTTGGTTTATGTTTTTCGGAGATCCCCCGCCATGTCTCCCTTGTCTTGATCCAGCTCCATCGACATCCTGGCATCAGGTGTCAGTCTTGGATCATGGCCGGCACGGACAGCCCGCGGCGGTCTGTCAAAGACTCGCGACGGAATGCTCGACTTCGGCTTGCTTGTGAGAGATGTCAGCGCCGTAAGATACGGGTGAGTGCCGCTTCTACTTTTGACTGATGCCGAGCTGACACGGCCATGTTGCAGTGCGATGGACAGTCGCCGAGCTGTGGGAGCTGCCAGCGAGCTTCTGTAGAATGTGTCATGGGAGACAGCACTCGCATGAGTGACTATTCTCGAGCGTAAGATGCCGTGCACCTGGATTTCGGAACACCTCTTAACAGACCATCTAGCCAGATCTCAAAGCTAAAGAGCCGTATTAACTGGTTGGAAAGTATAATCAAGGACCGATGCCCGGATGTCGATCTATTCCAAGAGCTAGCACTGGACAATGGTTTTGACGCTGTTGATGGGCAAGACAGTACAATTCGTGTCGAGGCGTTGTCGCCGACTCCTGGAGTTGTTGCCGAGCCAGTTACGCAACCATCCAATCTACCGGCGAGAGGACCTACGGAGCAACCCGCGCATACAAATGGTCTGCTGTCCCATGAGATTGGACTGGTCTCGTTAAACAGCTCGCAAGATCCTCGATACATTGGCCCCTCTAGTGGCCATTTCCTGGCCAGACTCATGCTAGCACCAGGTCGTCGAGGGGCAACGTCCTTGAACGCCGGGAGACTATCGCCGCCGCGAGGCTCTGCACTTCCCCTGGCGTTGGTCGAGTCGTTGCAAGGCCCGCTTCCCTTGCCTTCGATCGAACAAGCGATGATTCTGTCGAATGCTTATTTCGATATGCTGCACCCTCAGTACCCTATCTTGCATCGACCTACCTTTATGGCAAACCTCGCGAGGGCCTACGACAGTCCAGCAATAAGCCGGAGCTCCTCGTCATTCCAGATCTTCATGGTGTTAGCTCTAGGCGCCACGATTATTTCACAGCAACACAAAGTCAGGCTCCCTGCGGAATCCTACTGTCTATCGGCGCTTGAACACTTTGACTACCTGAATATCGACAATTCTCTGCAGGGGCTGCAGTCCCTCCTCCTGCTGCTCATTTTCACCCTACACTGCCCAAACATGAGACTCAATGTCTGGTATCTGAATTATCAATGCATCGCTGCCGTGCTGGATCTCGGACTGCAGCGCAACATCACAACCAGCTCGGGTATCACAAAGTTGCAACAACATCTCAGAACCCGTATGTTCTGGGTTGTCATGATGCTAGACAGGCAAATTGCGACAATGATGGGTAGACCCATCGGTCTGCGAGATGAGGCCTGTGATCTTCGCGTATGACTTTCCAAGTGTACAGGAGTAAACCCCAGAAGTAGGAAATGCTGACTGTCGATAGCTTCCAGATGACGTTGACGAAAACCTCCTCGGCGTCCCTGGAGGGCAGGGCTCTGGAAACATGCCGAGCACCACTTCGGCACTATCTTTTTCGATTCATCTTTTCAAACTGACGAAACTAAACTCCGAAATCAAATACGTCGCAAATAGCGTCGTTCGCGACGCTCCACGTTACGCCTATCCCGCTGTCGTGGACATTAACGAGTGGCATACGAACATGCTGCATCAGCTTGACCAATGGTCCACAGACACCTCGGCCATTGACGAAGCTCTTCAAGACGTATCGACAAGGTTCATGTCGAAAGTCTGTCGTTCTCGCTATCTGGATTTAAAAATGGTATTGCTTCGACCGAGTCCCGCCGTTCCAAACCCCTCGCCACAGTCTCTTACTCTCTGCCACGGTGCCGCACTGGAGAGCCTCAATCTGTACAGCCAGATGTACAGAGACAATCAGCTCCTGCACAGTTGGCAATCATTTTACTCCGTCGTCCTCAGCAGTATCACGTTTTTGTACTGCATCAAGGCGGAATCTGAGCTTGCGAGGACATGGGCCGCCAAGCCGGACGCGTTGCTCATCGAGTTGAGCAAGGGCCTCAACGTTCTCGGCGCCACTGGCGAGCACTGGGCTGGCGCGAAGCGATGTCGCGACATACTCGAGGAGCTTGGTCGGGGACTGGCTACGTCCCTGAGAAACAAAGACGGCGACGGGAGAGCCGAGGCGAGACGGACAAATGGCAGTCTCTCTGGGGTATTTGTTGAAGCGCCTTCGTTGCCCGCCGCGCCCTCAGAACCTCCCAACTCCGTCTCTAACGGCACGACATCATTCTCGGCCATGGACTCGAGTGTCATGCCAGGGTATGCTGACTTTGGGAGCAACTTTTCGGACCTGTTAACGGCAGAAGGACTTTTTGGGGATGACAGTTTTTTGGGCGATCCTGGTGATCTGGACGCGGCTATGCGAAGCTTGTTCGATGACTTCATTCCTACGTACCCGACTACTTCATAATACAAAGTAAAAACATTGATCAAGATTGAAAACTCAGATTCAAATCTGTTGACTATCGGTGGCTCTTAGCAGCCAATGTTCTTCAGTGCGTTGTAGGCCATCATCTCTCCCAAGCGCTCCTCCTCTGTGGTGTTGCCAATCTCGAAATCAAACCGCACAACATCCTCTTTGTACGGCCACAGATACGTGCTCGTGACCCTGTTTCTGTTAGAATCAAAGACATGCCCATTCTCAATGACATAGGTGTGGCTGGAAGCACTGCTGCGTGGAAACATACCTCTCGTGCTCCTTGCTCGCCTGGTATTCGGCCAAGGCAGCTGGACCGGGGTGGTAGCTGACGAGCGCAATCTCAAATCCCTTGCTCTTCTCGATGGGATCTGTAAGCGACGGGCTGCCAACGTGGAGGTTCTGGTCCTTGACACAGGACAGGAAACGAAGCTGTCTCAACTCGTGCATGAAGGTCTCCTTGTGCTCCTTGGAGACCTCCGGCTTGAATTTGAAGAGGACTGAGATCTGATCAGTATGAGGATGCGCTCCATGACAGTAACGTCGGTCATCTGACTTACCAATGTGAATGATGGTCATGGTGGCTGGTAATTGGTTGTGCTCAGCTAGAGTGATGTTTGAGTTGTCTGAGTGAAGAGGCTGACGTCTTTTTGTGCTGTCGGGCTGATCACAGTTCATGTGCCGCGAGCAAAAGGCGCTGTGGATCTTGCGAGTGTTCTGAATTGGCGCTGCTTGTGGTGCCGCATTGGCGGAAAAGGCCGCAACAAGCCGTTGATGAACGGAAGAGGCCTACAGTTTGTTTCTGCACGCATTCAATGTCAAAGCGCTCCATGAAATGCTCACGGCTCAAGCCTCCCAAAGTCGTCGCAATGCTCAAACTGGTCGTCGAGGTATACGGGAGAACCCGTGGGGAGACGGAGATGTGCCGCCGGGAAGCCGGCTGGGAAACCTAGGAGCGGGCTCTCCCCGTCATGCACGGGATGGGCCGCACTACGATCCCACGACCTACGAGCTTCTAGATCACTGTTTTCATAAGTGTTTGCGTTCTTAGCACCTCGTCAGTGCCTAGATGCGACTTCACAGTCTAACAGTATACGTCCTACCCTCAAGCAGATTCATTATGCTCGACCTCACCGGTAAAGTCGCACTCATCATCGGCCTTGGCCAATCCGGAGACGAAGGCTGGGGCATCGGCGCCGCGACCGCCGTGCTCTTCGCCAGCCAAGGGGCCGTCATCTTCGGCGGCAACCGATCGCTGCCGTCGACCACCAAGACCAAGACGACGATTGAGTCTGAAGGCGGTACTTGCGATGTCGTTGCCACTGACGCTACAAATTCGGCGTCCGTCAAGGCACTCGTTGACGCCTGCATCGCAAAACATGGCCGCATTGATGTCATGGTCGCGAATGTCGGCGGGTCACAACCCGGGTGCCCGGCGACGATGGTCGAGGATATCTGGGACGCACAGGTCGATCTAAACCTGAAGAGCGTGTACCTGGCGTGCCATCATGTGCTGCCTGTCATGGCAAAACAGGGGTCTGGATCTATCGTTTGCGTTTCGAGCATTGCGGGCCTCAGGTATATCGGCAAACCACAGGTAGCCTACAACACGACGAAAGCGGCGGTCATGCAATTTGTCAAAACCACAGCTGTCCTCTATGCGGACAAGGGCGTGAGGTTGAACACGGTTGTCCCTGGCTTGATGGACACACCATACACGAAGAATCTTGCGCAGAGGTTTGCTGCATCAGACAGCAAAAACCAATCGGAGGATGGTTCCGAAGAGCAACGGTATCAGGCCTTCAGGGGTATGCGCGAAGGCCAGGTACCCATGAAGAAAATGGGTGACGCGTGGGATGTGGCCAATGCTGCTCTGTTTCTCGTGGCGGACGAGTCAAGGTATATCACCGGGCAGAAGATTGTTGTCGATGGAGGCATCACAAGCTCTACAGGACGCGTATAGATTGTAATCTTTTTCACACAGTATACTTCTCTCTGAAAACTCCATGCCATTACATACGCTCTTCAACGTCCTTTGACCGCCATCGTCCCAAGTCCTTCATTATCATTTTAGCCTTCCTCTCATGCTGGTAGACATCTTCGTCCTTGCCTGGCCACATGATTTCCTTGTTTTTGAGGCCAATGACGACCCGCGTCATGACGAATAGGTAGATCATAACAAGAACGACACTTAAAACGGTCCCCACCCACTGAATGGCCGATGAGTGGAACGAATCTCCCAGCATCAACGTCGCAATAACAAACCCGGTAATCGGGAACACAAACGAGAACCAGCCCAGTCCGAACGTCGATTCATGCCGCGAGAGCAGCATGCCCACCACCGCGATGCACATGAACCAGAACGACAGGCACCACACAAAGACGGCCGTACATACGGCCAGGACCTGCATGACCTGGATCGTGATTGCTTGGCTTTCTGCCGAGTCGAAATACCAGGTGCCGAAGTAGTTGATGTACGAATCCGGAAAGGCGTCGGCCATGCCTAGCACGCCGAGAGCCGTGAAGGCCGGTGGGCCAACGGCAATGAACATAGACGGCCTTGTCTTCGGGCTTGGGAAACCCCACTGGATCATACGCCGATGGTAATTCGCGTTCATAAAGAGGGAGATGAGGAAGCCGAGACCCTGAGCCGTGAGGCCGGCGACGAGCATGGGTGTTGCCTGGTCAGGGGAAAGGTGCGGTGCGCCAGTGGCAGCGACACTGCCGCACATGAGGAAAGGAAAAATGTGCATATCCCAAGATGGACACATGTCCTCGAGGCGCAGTTCGGGAAGAGTATAGAGGAGGGTGTAATGAAACAGGGCACTGATGAAGGTGCAGACGAAGTATATCCAGAACAGGACGTTATAAGTGACAAGCAACCACGGCCCCGTGTTGGGAATCCCCCACCTAGCGATGCCGGGTATGATGTTGGACAGAGACAGCCAAACGGCTGCCACGTAAAGGCCCTCCGTGGGGTGGACGATAGATGCTCGGAAGGTATGGCGCCAACGAATGAACCGGTACGTGATGCATCCAGTCACAAACAGAAATGTGACGATTCCAAAAATGTAGATGGTGATTGCGATGGCGTCTAGCCCAGGAAATGTGTGAGGCTGAACCTCGGATGAAAGCATTAGACTGATACTCGTTGTCGTCATTGGTATAGAGTACCAGGCCTATAGAGTGGTTAGCAATTGTTTTGGGTTTGGATAGTGGCCATCATACCCAAGTAAAATGTTCCAATCGATCTCTCAGACGGATAGGCGCCTTTTCAATGGCACTGAGAACGTCTCCATCTTCCAGGATGTTCTCGGGCTGAGTCTCGGTATCTGTGGTGGCTGTAGTGCGGGTGGTTTGTTGGCGAGCTGGTGGCATGGTGTTGGTCGTTGGTATCGACCAGTCTATGTCTTCTTCGTTCGCTTGCAACTTCGTCTTGCTAGGCTTCCTAACGCACAATACCTCTCAAACGCTCTCGTCGCAGATCTGTCTTGATTGCGGGAACAGCAGACCCAGAGAGATGGTTGTAGCACCTATATATCTCCTCGCTATTCATCTGATGTCTGGCAGGCGACGACATGACATCAGTCTGGAGGAAGTGAAGTTAGAGACGAGCCGGACCTACATCTCCCTGGATGTGCCCGCACATAGCGACGAGCATCCAGCTTGAAATGATTCGTGATTGGAGGGCCAATCGATCGCAGCCTCAAAAAGAATGGGTATTAATGGGCTGCGATGGGTACTCTAGATCGATCAGTCTGCTGGACTCGCGGCTGCCGGACATACGTCCGAGTAGCGGAGCAAACATTCCGTGCCAAAACCCACAAACTCCATAGGCGCAAATCATCTTTCAAACGCTGTTCTGCCATTGCCAGCTGTTCTTTGCTTGTTCATCAAACCATGCGTGGACATGACCATGAGGAGCATGAGCCCCATGATATCCCGGTGTGGTGGCTCAGGAACCGGAGGTATGTCCAGGGTCTCTACTTTTCGGTCAAATAACATCCACTTCCTCCGCTCCGATCGACACGCCTCACGCTAGCAGTTTCCACGACCTCACTGCCGGGATGCTACGTATGGGTCAAGCACTGAATCACAAGCAGGGGCACCGCTTAGAAGTGTGGCTCGAAAGTTAAAGTTGAGTCTGGATCGTCACAAACGTGTTCAGGTCTTTCCAAACCGCCGAGCTGCCAAGGAGTCAAATAATCCACAAACATGTATGATACATACGAGCAAGGATCTGATCTTCGATGATCAAAAAGAATATGTACAACAGAACCATACTACCATTGTCATTTGCTCAGACAACCTGCGAGTTATCGCCACAGGAGAATGCTCCCCGCACGCTGCTGCTGTCATTGTTGAAAATATCAATGAGCTGCGTGATGGAGGACCACAGCCCGCCGGCGTTCATAAACAGCGACTGCAGGATGAGCAGGCAGTTTAAGACGGTCAGCAGGCCATTTTTCCAGTTCTTGAAATACTGTCCCCGGTTCAGGTGCAGCCAGAAGATGGCGCTGAGCCCAAAGGTGAACCACGCGATCGTCGTCGCTGACGAGATGGAGAGGATCGAGTCGAAGATGGGGATGGCGTTGGAGATGACCCAGACGATGACCCAGTACAGCGTGACGCAGGCAAACCAGGTTCCCCAGGACTTGACGCTGCGGTCGGTGACCTGGTGGGTGGACTTCATGGCGCGCATGGCGACGACGTACATGTACTTGATGCCCGTGTGGCCGAACGCCATGGCCGTGGCGAAGACGGCGGGAAGGACGACGCCGTAGGCGGCCTTGGCTGCGACGCTTGGCGCCGAGCCGAGGGCTGGCGACGTTGTGTAGTTGCCGGCCAGACAATAGATGGCGATGGCGATGACTGTGTAGATTGTGATGGAGAAGACTTCGAGGCAGGCCAGAGCGACGGGGAAGTCGCGGCTAGGATTACGCATCTCCGCCATGTAGCCGACCTTCAGTCATGTTAGCGAATGAGCAAGAGTGAGCAAGAGTTAGTTTCAATGCATGTCAAGTTCATACCCATGAGATGTTTCCCGCATATGCATAGCAGATCTTGAGGCAGGCGTTGAGACCCTGGCGGAAAGTAGGCTTGCCAATGACCGCGATCTCTTTATCCCATCCCGGGGGCGCTCCAGTCGGCCTCGAGACACCGAGACTGATGATGACGATGAAGGCAGCGGCCAGGATGCTGATCGTCGAGGGGATACCGCTCTGCGAAACGAACTTGACCGTTCGTGGCAGACACAGGATCCAGCAGGCGATGACGGCAATCGTGATGAAAATGGTGGTGCAGAAAGCGTGACCGCTCAGGGTGTTGAAAGACACGGAGAGAGTGACGGCAGCGGAAGCGCAAGTCATCATGACCTTGACCAAGAGACCCAGTCCAGCGACAACTTCCAGAGGTTTGCCGCCGATGATGCGACACATGTCGACAATGTTGACGACGTGAGGGTAGCGGCGGTAGAATTGGAGGAGAATGTACGCAGTGTATGCAGATATAGAGCCGAGACCAATGATGGCGATTACGCCAGGCACGACGCCGAGCACCTTGAGACAGCCGGGCAAGGACAGAATACCGAGACCAACTTGGTTGGTGATGAGGACGAAGACGGTGTCCCAGCGGCCGAGTGTGCGATAATTCTGGGAACCCTGGTTAAACATGTTCGTCGGCGGCTCGTCATGGCCGACGGGTTTCAACTCCGTCGCCATATCGGCGGCCTCGTTGTCCTCCTTGTTGCCTCCGTTGGCAGGTACATCGGCCCGCTGAATCGACAGCTGACGCTGCTCCTGGGGAACAGACTGCTCATCGACGGCGGCAGACATGGCAGGCTGTGGTGTCTTGGGGTGATTGGCCGTCCTGCGTGAGCCAAACTCGTTTTCGAAGCGTCAGACACGCACGTCTGTCAGATGAGAGATGGCGTGCGGAAGAGGCTTCAGATTGAGCTGCAGTAAGGCGTCAGGAGTAGAATGGGCCAGACAGTACCAAAGAAGAAGTACCAAAGAAGACGCCTGGTGAGAGGAAGCAACCTTGATGGGGATGAAAATTCTGTTGGTGGTTCTCTGTGAAATATTTGTAGGCTGGGGGCGTCAATGTGGAAACTCTGATCAGTCCAACGGACTTCTGGCCGCCAATTCGATACCGGCGCCCCGTTTCCCTTGTGGGATAAGGGGGCAAGAAGGATTCCCGGCATGCTCTTGGCTTCTTCTTACCCCATGGAGTAGGTATCCCTCCATGCATCGCCCCGTGGGCGAGAGCATGTTGAGAAGCATCTTGGGTTTGGGGTAAGGGTCCGCGAGTGCATGTCAAGGTGCCCTTGACGTCGCTTGCATCGGGTCCTGTCAGATGGGAGGCATGGCATAAGGTAATTCTCAAGTCATTGGCGGAATCTCGGAGCCGGGGCGTTCTCGTTTCAGGGACGCCGAGGCCATGTCTTGTCGTTCGTTGTTTGCGGTTGGAGTCATTGCCGGCGACCCGGCCCCATCGGCGGTGGGCCGCACTATGAGCCGCTTTACGTATGAGGATCCACGGATATCACCCGATGGCCGATGGGCACCCGATGGGAGCTTTCTGGACACAGGCGGTGGAGGCTCGCAGGAGAAAGATTTCATTTACGTCGAATAGAAGGTCACGACGTGTTCCCATCAACAGTTCGCTTGAAGAAGCTCAGGGGGCTTGAAGAGGACCTCATGACAATGTCGATAACCTCAACCCTCGTGGTCTCAGCCTGGAATGGCGGCCGGCACGGCAGCGGCCAAGATCTCCGAAAAGCTTTTCCCGCGGGCCGGTGCGCTAGCCAAGCGCCTTGTGGACCTCGTACAGCCTGTTAAGGCGGAACGTGAGGCAAACCATTGCATTGCTAGACGGGTAATAGAACGCCCTGCAGGATGAATCGCCAGCTCCCGTTGTATCCGTTTCTCGGTCCACAGTGACGGCCAACCTGGTGGCCCCTTGTGATATCGAGATTCAGGACCCGAGGCTAGTGGTGGACCAAGGTTCTTCTCACCGACCAAGATCGCGGGGTTGACCCTGAGAGTACGCATGCCGCCAGCAGGCTCTTTACGACCAATGAGCCCTAAGCTCACCACGAGGTGCGAAAACCAATAGCTGGAAGTTGTATGGAGAGGATATGAAACAATTATTTTGCCAATTCAGCTCTCCCGCCAGCAAGTTTCCGTCCGTGGTTCATCGTAGGCATAGCCTTGTTCTGGTCTTGACAAGCGCCTTGGCACGGCAGCTCTCACGCGGAGAATTTTCGTCCTCATCCACCAAGACCGACCTCGTTGACTCGAGTGTCGGAGAATAACTGCCAGGATTGGTGTTTTGCTAGAAAACGAGAGCCTGTCGTCTAGAAGGATTGCCGATGCTATACAAGTTGTGTGGAGGCCAAACTGCCATTCCACCTCGGTACAAAACACTAGACATTAGATGCGCCAAGCCAGATTCCTACTCACAATACATCGATGGCTTTTCATCTTGGTATCATCCCAAGGACATCCTTTCCTCAGTCAAACTGAGCGAGGCAACTGTCCAACCCTCAGGTCAAACCTGCGAGTACGCCCACGAGCCCCAGCGCACCAATGCCCACCAACGGCCCAACCGACGCCGCAGCACCGGTCTGCGAGGGCGCCGCTCCTCCAGTAGCACAAGATCCTCCCCACTGCATCCTGCTCGAAAGACTCATCTCCTGCGCCTCGCCCGCCGTCGCAGCGCACGGCTGCACCTCGTGCGTGATGCTCGCAGTGACAGCACAAGAGCTCGTCGTCTCGGGCCGCGGGTTCAGCGACGGCATCAGACCGTGAAACGTCGTCAGTTGCGAGAAACTGACGGACCACTCGATGCTCCAGCCGTAGTGGTAGGCCGCATTCGGGTTCTGCAGGGAGACAAGGACTGGCAGGCCGATTTCTGTCTCTGCATAGACGCCGCCGGCGCGTGGGAAGACGAGGTCGAGCTCGATGGCGTTGGACGGCAGCTCGGCGGCGACGGGCTGATGGGCTAGGGTGAGGGCCGCCAAGACCCATGGCCATGGAGAGAGGAACAGCATGTCGACCGCCGTGCCTCTTGGACAAGAAGAAGTGCCAAGCTATGAATCGCCGGCGTCGCATGGTGATGGATGAGGTGCAAGCAAGTTTGAAGATGCAGCTCGAATCCTGCCAAGAGAATAAGATGAGAGGACTCGGCTGACGAGAGGAGTGTGATTAGTCAGAAAAGCCTGATGAGAGCGACTGAGTTGAAGGTAAATGATGAACCAACTGCGTCGCCCTGATCTCGTATGCTCTTTGGCTCTGAATTTCTCCTTTTCGGATATCGAGAAGCCTGACGAGCCTACGACCAAGTCTGACAGAGGGAACTAGCCATTCGGAATCTTCTCCGGCCCACGAGACGTCAATCTGCATCGTAGGTCCCCCTACTCCTGTCCTCCCCGCGGCCCGGCAGCCGTCAAGAAATCAAAGTCGGCGCCCTGCTGCGCCTGGTTCACCGACCTCATGTACAGCCCCCGGTACCCCCTGATCGTCTTCCTCGCCGTCCAAGGCCCCGGCGCCGCGCCCTCCTTGGCCTCCTCCCTCTCCAGCGTTTCCTTCTTCTCCCTCACCCGCCTCTGAATCTCCTCGTCTGAAAGCTCCACCCTGATGACCCGACAGTCCACGTCGCAGGTAATGATATCGCCAGTCCTGACAATGCCCAGCACAGACTCGGGATCCGCAGCTTCAGGCGAAACGTGAAGAACAATGGTCCCCCCCGCCGTGCCGCTCATCCTGCCGTCCGAGACGCGCAGCATGTCCAGCACGCCCCGCGCCGCCAGCTTTCTCGGGATGGGAATGAGGCCCGCCTCGGGCATGCCGGGGTTGCCGACGGGCCCGATGTTCTGCAGCACGAGCACGCTGTCGGGCGTGACGTCGAGGGCCGGGTCGTCAATGCGGCGCGCCAGGTCGGCGGCGCCGGCGAAGACGACGGCGGGGCCGGCGTGGCGCAGCAGCCGCGCGTCCTTGGCGGCGCTGGCCTTCATGACGGCGCCGCCGGGCGCGAGGTTGCCGCGCAGCACGACGAGCGACGACGCGGCGTGCAGCGGCGCGGCGAGGGGCTGGATGCAGCTGACGGGGCTCGCGCGCGGCACGGGTCTCGCGGGCGCGGCGTCGAGCTCGGCGCCGAGCGTGCGGCCCGTGACGGTCAGGGCGTCGAGGCGCAGCAGCGGCCGCAGCGCGCCCAGCAGCACGGCCATGCCGCCGGCGTCGTGGAAGTCGGTCATGTACTTGTCGCCGCTGGGCTTGAGGTCGACGAGCAGCGGCGTCGTCCGCCCGATGGCGTCGACCGTGTCGAGCGTGATGGTGCCGGCGACGCCCGGGTGGCGGTTGACGATGGCCATGAGGTGCACGACGGCGTTGGTCGAGCCGCCGATGGCCTGCAGCACCGTGATGGCGTTGAGGAACGAGTCGCGCGTCAGCACCGTCTGCGGCCGGAGCTGCTGTCGGAACGCCCGCACCGCGTTGGCGCCTGTCTCTTCGGCGATGCGCAGCCGCGCCGACGACACGGCCGGCGCCGAGGCGCCCTTGAAGGGCATCAGCCCGAGGGCCACGAGGATGCACGCCATTGTGCTGGCCGTGCCCATGACGCCGCATGTTCCGGCCTGGCGGGGTCAGTCATAGTCTCATCGTCCCAAGGACTCGGGTGGCTTACCGTTGGCGCCAGTTCATCGTTGATGGCCGAGATGTCTTCGATATCGATGGTGCCAGCCCGGAAGCTGGCCCAGTTGTTCCGACAGTCTGTGCAGGCGCCGATGCGGACGCCCTTGTGGCTCCCCGGCATCATGGGTCCCGTGACGAGGTGCAAGATGGGCTTGTTGGCAGATATGCCGCCCATGAGCTGTGCTGGTGTCGTCTTGTCGCAGCCTGGGCCGTCAGTCGTGCACGTCAAGAGGGGTTGTTCCATCTTGTCATCTCACCTCCTATCAGAACAACAGCGTCACATGGCTGCGCAGCAATCATCTCCTCCGTGTCCATGCTCATGAGGTTCCGCAGATACATCGAAGTCGGGCTCGAAAACGACTCGTGCAGACTGATGGTGGGAAAGTCGACAGCCAGACCGCCGTTCAGCTGCACGCCCCGCTTGACGGCCTCGATGAGCTGCGGAATGTTGGCATGGCAGGGATTGAAGCTGGAATACGTGTTGACGATGCCAATGATGGGCCGTGAGAGAGCGTCGTCGCTGTAGCCGAGGGCCTTGATGAAGACCTTGCGCAGGAATAGCGAGAAGTGAGCGTCTCCGTAGGATGTGAGGCCCTGGCGGAGGCCGCCTTGGGTTGTGGAGATGGGCGTGGAGAGATCATAGTCGGCCAGAGAGTTGGCTGGGCCAGCTCCCTGTTGATGTTGGTCTGCCATGGCTGAGAGTCTGGAAAAATCACAAAAGAGTGTAACAACGGTCGTCGTTCATATCATAAATCATGAAGCCGACAACTGTTGTGAAATACACCTCGCTGGATTGGCCAACGACTTGACATCGGTTATCCGATGCGGGGACGGGAATGTCGCGATCGCCACCCATCCGGATGGAGGAGGGGGGCGGAGAATGTCCGCCGCGTAGTGCCACGACGGATTAGTCCGCCTGCCCGATGCAATGCACATCACCAACGTCTGGTCACGTTGATCAACGGCATGAAGGCGGGAATCAACAGAACGGTCGATAGGATCATAACGTACAACAGTCAATACTCGTACTCCCACTCATCCTCCACATCTTCATCGTCTCGGTTATCCCACCAGCCGCCGTGCTCATCGCTCATGTGCTGGTAGATCCGGTCATACCCGACGTCTTGACCACACTGGAAGCACCAGTGCGCATCACAGCTCGGGCAGGTAATGTGATCGCAACCACTGATCTTCTCCGTCATTGTGCTGCACCCGGGGCATTCACGCATGACCATGGCCACCTTTCTCGCCGTGGTTTTGGCCTGCGGCATCTCACACTCCCCGCATCGCCAGTCTTGCACGTCGCCAGGCGCGCCTGAAGCGTTGTCTGCAGGTTCTGCTCCAGCATCTTGTAGTCGACTAGAGTGCGGAACAGACGGCGATCTTCATCGCAAAGGACGCGGGCATCAGGTCTGGGGCGTTTGATCGTCCCTTCCGAGACACGCACCTCAAAATCCCTGTCTGCGTCGAGGAGCAGAAACAGGCAGCCGAGGTTCCAGTTTTCCGTTGTCGTCAAGTTGTTCCACTTGTCACTGAACGCAATCATTTCTTGGTCGGCGACCGCTCTCAGCGGCAGGATTCCCTTGCGAAGGGCCAGGGCGGCAAGCAGCGCGGCAGGGCGCGTGGAAAGCTGCGTGCCTGGAACAACGGTATGAAGCAGGAGCTTCCAAAAGCTGCGCTTGTGCTCAGGCTTTGCGAGCGCCAGAGGGATACGAGGAACATCTACGCCAGGCCCGTCTCTGAGGTGGGCAGGGAGATCGGCCTCGGTGGCGACATATTTCATCTGCGCGAGCACCTTGCCGAGGCGGCGAAGAATACTAGGGTCACACGATCGTCCAATCTCGAGGAGTTCTTCGCGAGTCAAGTCTGTGACTTGTCGGTTGTCTGTGCCTCCGGCGGTAGCGACGGCCGTGAAATTCTCTGTTGGGTCGAAAAGCACGCAGGGATAACGTTCGTCCTCGGTCATGTCGCCGATGGCATCTTGGATGACGGCGCTGAAATCGTAAGACTGCGCGAGCCAGTCCTTCATTTTCCGACGTCTTGTTTCACTGGTGATACGGTCGACGGCCTGTCCAAACGCCATGACCAGACCGTCTCGGGCATCGTTCGCCCTGTCAGCACAGACGGCGCGCCAGAGCGAGCCGTAGACGGGATGTGTCGCCACGGCGGATGCGTTCGTATCAATGATGGCGGCGAGCTGCTGTGACACAAAGACGCGGTACTCGGCATCATTGGCGTATCGCGCCTCGAGCGCTTGCATGGGCGACGCGCGCGGGTTCGTGACAATCACAGTCGTCCCATGGCCTTGAGCCTTTTCGCTCAACGTCATGTTGAAGTTGACGTGGCTGGACTGATGCTGCCAAGCTTGCGGATCCATGAAACGTCGCAGGCTCGAGTCACCTTCCTTCAGAGCATCTCTCAGCCCATCTGTGTTGCGGTAGGTGGCAGTCGTTACGATATCGTTGAAGTGTTCGTCTTGGTCGCTCGCAAGTCCCATCCAGGTCAGGAACACATGCATGGTCAAGTCGGAAACGACGTCTGACGTGGCTGATTTGAGGTGGTAATAGTTGCCGTTTGTCATGGCGGTCAGGTACAGGAGTGACGCCTGGACATCCGTGGCGTGGACGAGGGCAAAGACTTGGGCCTTGCGGTCGCCGTCCGACAAGAGGGTGGCACCGGAGATTGAATCGACAAAGCCGGGGCCGCTGCCGACAAAACTCCTCAGGTCAGACAGCTTGACGATCTCAGCCTGACATGGTACGCCTCCCACGGCTAGGAGGTGCGGAGGGGCATCAGTGAAGAGCAGCATGATGGTTGTCGCGTCGTCGCGCATGACGCTGTGTGCGAGTGCGAGGCCAGTCTTGGCGGCCTCGGGCCAGTCGTAGCTCCCACTGCCATGAAGAGTGTTGGCGAAGTCGATGAGCCAGGTTTGGGTTATGATTTTGCCATTGTCGTCGTTTTCGTCCATGTAGTTCCAGCCGGACCATTCCGTCACAGGAGCCGCGCTGGTACGGCCGCCATAGTCACGGTAGGCAATGATGCCGACGCGCGAAAAGCAGCGTGTGAGAGAGGAAACCCGGATGATGTCGGGAAGGACGTCGCGGAGAGCTTGTAGGTAACTGTTCATCGATGATGTAGCATCCGTCACGATGAGTAGGTCGTTGACCTGGGGAGCCGCGTCTGTTGTCATGGTAGCGGTGGTGATGGTCGGTGCTTCGTGAGGAGAGTCAAAAGGCTGGCTGAGAACAGGGATGATGCGCCTCTATATACGCCATCTCAGCCGCTTGCCATGCTGGATAAACGAAGCGGATTGGCCTCACTTTGAGTCATCGGCATGGCGGTGAGGGAAGTGGTTGGCGGCATTGGCATGTTTTGGGAAAGTCGTAGGGGTCAAAGGCCTGCAGTGGCAGCACTCCGGCCCATGCTGGTTGATCAAGTGCCGAATTGACCTGTGGCAGCCATTGAGTCAGCCGGGGAGTGGTTGGGAAGAGCACCTCTCAGCTCGACGCCTCTCATGGGCATCGATTTGGCGTTTTGTTGGACATGCCATGTTGGACATGCCAGAGGGTGAAAGAGGCCGCCTCCTCGCACGCTTTCGATAAGAAAGTCGGAGTTGAGCTCGTTTGGAGGACATGGATTGCAGCAGACTGCGCTCGCTCAGTCGAGGAGGCACGTAAGGCATCGTGAGCTTGAGGACGCTGAGAGTCCTCTTTTCTTCCTGAGAGTCCTCTTTTCTTCGATTTTGCAACATCGGATAGCACTTGATGGATGAAGTAGAAATTCGGAAGTGGATAAAATGGCTTGGAGCAGGTCAGATGGATACGAACTCGATCTGGTCACCAAGGCAAGTGTGTAGGTAGGGTAGATATCTAGGAGGTAGGCAGGTATGCGATCAGGCGTCTCGAGGTGCAAGTGGGCTTCGTACTGCAGTGATTCATCCATCTGCTGACAGACAGAAATGGATGATGTAAGGACAGTGCCAGTAGTGCGAGTCCGCACCCAGGCACGGCACGCGTCGCGTTACCCCGCCACGACAGCATCTCTTATCTTATCCGAAAAGTCCAATCTTGTAGATGCGGGGCAATAGAATTTTTTTTCCAGCGTCTTCCTCCCGAGCAGGACGCTTTGCTCATTCAGGTGGACCATGGACGGCGGAAAATAGGCTGTGGACCATGACCAGGCTGTGGACCATGACCAGGCTGTGGACCATGACCAGGCTTAGGCTTGCCAGGTCATCGATGGCCCAGGGAAATGGAAATTTTTGTGGTGCTTCTGGTCTGGGAAGCGATGGCCACTCCAGTTGGGCAGCAGCGAGCGACGGCCACGGCCAGCGCAGCACCAGAATTTGCGCTTGCCCACACACTACTAAGGTACCTTGTAAGGTACCTAGGTAGAGGCAGAGAAAGGTACCTCGTAGTTCGCGCCAGTCCCGCGCAACCACTGAAGTACCACACCCAAAGACCAAAGGTCGAGGTCGTAACAACAGAGGGTAGCGGGGCCCCCAAAACAACAGACTGCCTGATAAATTCTGCCGCGGGGCAACTTTTTCTCTGGCTTCACCTTTTTTCCCTTCCCCTCTACCACCCCTCCTCACCTCTCCTCCCCCTCCTTTCCTCCCAAAATCAGTCAGCCATCATGGACAAGGACCAGTTGGCGCAGCTGCTCCAGGCGAGCCAGATTCGTGAGTCTCTATCCTGTTGCCCCTCCTTCGTTCTTTGGCGATGAAAGCCTGCGTGCGCGGCGCAAGGCAAGACATCGTGCACCCCCCTTGCTGGCCGCACTGACCGGGCACGAAGCGAGGTGAGGAAGAAGAAACCCTGCCCCAGCCACCAGCATTTTTCTTTTGCTTCTTCTTCCTCTCCTCGCCGTTCCTACAAAACCACGTATTTTCCATCTTTTCCATCTTTCCATCTTTTCCATCTTGACGGTCTTGCTGACATTTTCGTCCCTCAACAGCCGACACGGAAAAGGTCAAGGCCGTCACCGCCGAGCTTCAGAAGAACTACTACTCGCAGCCCCAGTCCCTGTTGCTGCTCATCGAGATTGCCGTCTCCCACAATGACGCCGGCATCCGTCAGCTGGCCTCTGTGCAGGCCCAGCGCATCACGGCCAAGCACTGGCTGAAGGTCAACGACGACCAGAGGAACGTCGCTCGCAAGCACCTCATTGAGAGCGCTGTCAACGACCCTACCACCAACGGCCGCCACTCCAAGTGCCGTCTCCTGGCCCGTGCCATCAGCATTGACCTCGACAACAAGGACGCTGCCGGCCAGGCCTGCGTCGAGCAGCTCCTCTCCCTCGTGAGCCAGGAGAGCACAGCCGCCCGCGAGGTTGGCTCCTTCACCCTCTACGCCATTCTCGACGAGGACCCCACAAACTTCACCGAGCAGGTGCCCCAGCTCCTGAACATTCTCAAGTCCACCATCCAGGACCCTGCGAGTGTCGATGTCCGCCTCAACTCGGTCAAGGCCATCGGCTCGCTGCTGATGCTCGTCGACCCCGAGGACGATGCCGAGAGCCTCGCTGCCATTCACTTCTTCGTCCAGCCCATTGTCCAGATTCTCAAGGACGCCGTGCAGGCCGAGGCCGACGAGCAGTACAAGGTCATCTTTGAGATTTTCCAAAACTTCCTCGCCTACGACCCTGCCTTCCTGGCACCCCACCTCAAGGATCTCATCCAGTTCATGATTGACCTTGCCGCCAACACCAACGCTGAGGATGAGGCCCGTTCGCAGGCTCTGTCCTTCCTCGGCCAGTGTGCTCGCTACCGCCGCATGAAGATCCAGGCCATGAAGGACATGGGTGCCCAGCTCATGATCAAGAGCATGCAGATCCTCACCGAGGTCGAGGACGAGGCCGACCCTGATGACACGTCCCCCGCCAAGACTGCTCTCTCCCTGATTGACCAGCTCGCGAGCGACCTGCCCCCTCGCCAGGTCATCGTCCCCCTGCTCGAGACGTTCCCCCAGTACGCTCAGCACCAGGACCCCGGCCACCGCAAGGCCGCCATTCTCGCTCTCGGCACGGCCGCCGAGGGTGCCCCCGACTTCATCGCCACCCAGCTCAAGACTCTCCTGCCCATGATCGTCAAGCTCCTCAACGACCACGATGACAATGTGCGCTACGCTGCCCTCATTGGTCTCATCCACCTCGCCGACGAGATGGCTGATGAGCTCGCCTCTGGCCACGAGGACCTCATTGCCGCTCTCCTGAAGAACCTCGAGGCTGCCTCGCAGGAGTCGAGCAAGAAGAACGTCGGTGTCATCCGCTCCGTCTGCAGCGCCCTCGACTCGCTCGTCGGCGAGGGTCTCGAGGCCGACCTCATGAAGGTGTACGGCCCCAAGCTCATCGTGCCCATGGGCAAGCTCCTCAACCACGAGGACTCGGGCGTCAAGGCTGCTGCCGCTGGTGCCATTGGCGCCATCGCCTTCTCCATGGGTGGTGAGGCCTTCAAGCCCTACTTCAAGGATGTCATGAGCGCGCTCGGCCAGTACGTCACCGTCACTGGTGATGATGACACCCTCGCTCTGCGCTCCTCCGTCTGCGACTCCATGGGCCGCATCGCCGGCGCCGTTGGCCCCGAGGCTTTCCAGCCCTACGTCGTCGACCTCATGAAGGCCAGCGAGGAGGCACTCTCCCTGGACAGCGCCCGCCTCAAGGAGACTAGCTTCATCCTCTGGGCCTCGCTCTCCAAGGTCTACGGTGCTGACTTTGCCCACTTCCTGCCCGGCGTCTTCAAGGGCCTCTTTGAGTGCCTCGAGTCGGAGGAGGAGGAGCTCGAGATCCCCGGCCTCAACGCCGAGGACGCTCCCGATGGTGTCATTTCCGTCGGTGGCCGCCGCATCAAGGTCAAGCCTACCGAGGACGAGATTGACCAGGCCATTGCCGAGGAGGGTGAGGATGACGAAGACTGGCTTGATGACCTTGCCGGTGTTACCGCCATCGACATGGAGCAGGAGATCGCCCTCGAGGTGTTCGGCGACGTCGTCACCCACTCTTGCGATCTCGCCGCCGTCAGGCAATACCTCGAGCCTGCCATGGAGAAGATTCTTCCCCTCGTGGAGAGCGCTTACGACGGCAGCCGCAAGGCCGCCCTCTCCACTCTGTGGCGCTCGTACGCCCGTGTCTGGCAGCTGTTCGAGGACCAGTCCGGCCAGAAGTGGCAGCCTGGTATTCCCCTGAAGCAGACCCCTGATGCCTCGCTCACCGCCCTCGGCGAGCTTGTCACCAAGGCCACCCTCATGCTCTGGGCCGACGACAACGAACGGTACGTGCCATGCATCTCTTTACGATCCCCACTCCCGAATGATGAATACCTCGCGTTATACCCAGCTCACTCAGACGCGGCATTTATGCCGCGGTTGCTGAGAACACGTTTGATCTACTCCTGACTTTTGGATATCCTCTTCACGTTGTCACGCAATCTCTTCTGTTCGACTTGACGCTGACATGTATTCTAGTGATGTCGTCACGGAGATCAACCGCAACGTCGGTGCCACCCTCAAGGCCTGCGGCCCCGCCATCCTGACCCAGGAGGACATGCTCCCCCAGACCGTCACTGTCCTCAGCACTCTCATCACCCGCTCGCACCCTTGCCAGCAGGATCTTGGTGACGAGGAGGAGGAGCAGGACGCCGAGGGTGGCTCGTCCGAGTTTGACTGGCTCGTCATTGACACGGCGCTCGACGTTGTGCTTGGCCTCGCCACGGCCCTCGGCCCCGACTTTGGCGAGCTCTGGAAGGTCTTTGAGAAGCCGGTCCTCAAGTTCGCCAGCTCTCAGGAGTCCCTCGAGCGGTCGACCGCCGTCGGTGTCATTGCCGAGGCCATCAAGTTCATGGGTGGCGCCGTCACCGAGTTCACCGGCTCGCTGCTCCCCGTGCTCTTCCACCGCCTCTCCGACGAGGACTCGCTCACCAAGTCCAACGCCGCCTACGCCATTGGCCAGCTCATCCTCAACTCGACCGACACCAACACGACCTTCCCTCGCTACGCTGACATTCTGCGCAAGCTCGAGCCCCTTCTGCAGGTGCAGGAGTCGCGCATCACCGACAATGTCTCTGGCTGCATCTGCCGCATGATCAGCGCCAACCCGCAGCCCGCCCTCGTCGAGAAGGTGCTGCCCGCCGTCCTCGACGTGCTCCCCCTGAAGGAGGACTACGAGGAGAACGAGCCCATCTACCAGGCCATCTTCAAGCTCTACGACCAGCAGAACCCTGCCGTCCAGCAGCTGACGCCCAAGATCCTGCCCATCCTCCAGCAGGTCCTCAGCCCGCCCGAGGAGCAGCTCGAGCCCGAGACGCGCGCTCTCGTGCAGAAGCTCGTCCAGGCCCTGTCCTAGATGTTTGGGTTCTCCGAAGAACGGAAGGAACCGAGGTGGAAAAGCGACCCAAAAACTGTAATGACTCATGAGTGATGAGTGAGATTCCCGTTGTAGATAGAGAAAAGCATGCCCCCATGGCTCTGGGCATGGATGATATCCATGGCTTGCACACGCCGAATAGATCGATGATTTACTGGACCATGTGACGTACGCTTTTGCCGTGTTTTCACAGTTGATGCCACACTTCCACGCACTGAGATCTCTTGCGCCGAGGACGAGCGGAACATCCATGCTCACGGAACTCGACCTGGGAGGCCTAACAGGCCACGACCAGTGACCACATCCGCCCTACCGACGCGAAGCGATCACGACACGTAAAACAGACGGCGACCCTGCAGCCCAGCGGGTCTCGCACGACGCCACCCTCCACGTCGGCCATGATGCCGTCGGCCGGACCCCTGCACAACCAACAGCTTCGATCGTCTAGTTGGTTAGGATGATGCATTGTGGTTCTTACTACAATACTGCATTGACGGCAGTTCGAATCCGCCTCGGAGCAGTTCTTTTGTTTTGGGCTGTTGGCGTCGAGGTGTCGTGGATGAAGCTTCTTTCGCGTCGAAACAGAATGCTTGCTGAGAGTGGTCAAGGAGGCTCTCAACGTACCATCCAGCCTGTGCTGATGAGCAAGTGACAAAGATGTTGAAGACACAACTTGGCCGCTCCGATTTTTTGCCTCGCACTCAGCGCCTGATTCACCTGGAAGCGTTGGTGGCTGAGAGCTTGGCCTTCCACAATGGCATTGTCGCGACAGGCACTCGACGTGCGAACCGTCACGCTCCCAGCATCAGAAGCCATGCGCAGCAATGGTTCGGCGCATTGAATTCTCGAGACACCGTTAGCGACGCATTAGCTTCATCTCTGGGCTATATTGAGCACTCGCTTGCGGCGGATCTCCCTGCCATGGGCTTGGCAGACAGAGTACGTCTTGGAAGTGCACGCCATGCCGGCTATTCCTGGTATGGGGGCCAATGGGGGCGTCGCAGCGCTGTCGTCAATCGACGTTCCCTTGCATCGTGGCCCGCAGCATTCCAACACGACTTGGGTTGTGGAATGTGCACCGCGCAGCCCGTTGAACGTGGCCGGCCAGATCCAACACTAGTGTTCCTCCATTGGCTCCCGGACACGCGGTGTCTTGCGCCAAAAGATCTGCCCGAAGAAACGTACGCGATTCCGGGGGTGTACAGTCGTCGCAACATGAGGCCCAACCGAGCACACAATGCAGCAGAACGGCGTCCATGGCTCAGCGGGGGCGGAATGCCGAGAAGTGAAGCGCACGCAGGCTGTTGTGAAGAATTTAGCCCCTCTTGGGGGAAACGTCGTGGCAGCCACACCGCGGTGAGCCAAGCGCGTTCAAGAGAGGTCGGATTCCTCAGACTGCTGTGCCCTTTTCCCGACCCCAGCCTGGGCATTCTTGGGAGAGCCGTTCCGCCAGAGGGTTTTTGAGTTCAAAAGGGACAGCTTGGCCTGTCAAGTCGTCTCTCTGTAGACATCATCATCTCCAGACGTAAACCCAATTTCACCTTTTGCTCAACAATATCCATCCGACATCTTGGCCCGCTCCCCATCCTAGATGAGCACCATGTCTTCCGAGAAAGCGATACTCCCCCAGTATGAGGACAGCCAAGCCACCCTCGAACTCATCGAGTCGGCGCCCGAAACCACCGACAAGGCCCTGTGCGCCCGCTTCTCCGTCGCCAGCACCATCCTCTCGGCGGTCCCGTGGCTCATCATCGGCGTCCTAGCCAAGAGCGAGCTGTACGCCGACAACGAGGAATACATGGGCGCCGCCCTCGTCGCCATCCTCGCCGCCCAGCTCATGGCCCTCACGCTCGCCACCCTCTCCGCGCAGGTCGCCTGGCCGGCGACGCAGGTTGGCAGGTACCTGGCCGTCGGGCTCGGGCTCGGCGCCAGTACCGTCTTTGTCATTGTGACGTACGAATCGTCGGCGTACGTCAATTATTATGCTCGGACTTTCATGGGACTGGGGGGGTTGTATGCGGGGTTGGCTTTTGAGGTAGCTACTGGTGCGTGTCAGCGGGGTGTCGAGTATAGGCTGTCGACTGGGTCATGAAGTGCGTCGATGAAGAGGAAAGAGCTAGTAGAATGTTTATTCTTCAATGTGTTATTCGTGTGTCGTGTGTCTCTGTGGCCTGGCGTAGATCGAGGCTCGATGACATGCCTGGTGTTCGTAGAGCATGTGTCACGGAGCGAGAGCTTGCCATGTTTTCGCTATATTGAAGTGCTTACCAGTCCCATACCTGCCTTCAAGGAAATCATCAATTAACGTGTACCCTCGAATTAGGGAGGAAAGTCCACAGTCATGTGGAGCTTTGACTCGAGCTCCGATGACGTGCACTGCTCCAAATCAGGCAATGCTCAAAGGAACGTTCCCCCCAGCACAAGGTGCGTAAGAAGAGTCAAAGTTGAACCAGGGTCACACAGTATATGATTGCACATCACATCATATAAGGCAGCGAAAAGCAAATTCATGGAAAGGGGGCCGGTGCACTGGAAGGCCATCTGGCTGCAAGGACCCTCGAGCAACAATAGAGGGCTGCGGGACCTGTTGTTTGATAGAGGAGTTAAAGAAAAGGGGGGCCCAGAGCCTTGGGGGACTACTTATGAGGAGGGCCGCCGTCCCGAAACTGGAGGGCATCGATTATTCTACCGGGTTAGAGACCTCCAAGTGACCTCCAAGAGACCTCACACATCGCGAGACTCCTTCACACTTGCCACACTAAACCAGCAGATGAGGGGACCCGGACATCCATGATCACCATGGCCGCCGTCTTCACCATCGCATAGTTGCCGCCGTTGCTGCTGACAAGCTACCCAATGCGTGGGCATCCGCCGTTTGCCCCATTGCCGCCACCACGCCGGGGCTGGAAGGCCGCAGCCTGGGCATTCTTCTTCACTTTCGGGCTGCCGGAACACTGTTAGACATGAAACATTAAGAAATCGAAGGCAGGGTGCTCACGCTTTTGCCGCTGTTGCCGCTACCCATCAACGAACCCAGAAGGGCCGTGGTGACCTGCTCGCGGGGGATCCGGCCCTCGCCCGCTTCTCGCTGCAGCCGGTACATCGTGGCATGGGAGCCAGCATCCGCTGCTCGTTGCAGCTGGCCCATCATGGCTCGAGTGGCACGGAGGCCGCCTCCGCGGCCTCCTCGTCCTCCTCGTCCTCCGCGGCCACCACGACTGCCACCGCCGCGACCACTGACAGTTTTTGTCTCGCAGCCGCCTTTCTTGTCGTTCTTGCCGTCGCGATCCATTCTGTTATGTTGAATAATTGGTACATGTCGCTTTTGGGATGGTCATTGCTGAGATGCATAGCATGACTTACATGGTGGTGATGAGGGTGGCGTTGTTGCTACTTCAGACTTTCGAGGTGGCAATACGATTCTACCTCCACATCCAACGACACATTCAAAAACCCAGAGGCCCACATGATGTAGTGCTTGTTGGTGGTGGCATTCACTTGGTCAATGGCATTTACCTGGCACTGGCTCGTGTGCCCAGTGCCTCCAATGGCTTGGTTTCAGGCACCACCCGAAGAATGTCCAGGTAATTAGAGGGTATCTAGATAGTTACCTACAGAATATGCATGCGTTTTTCCGCATCAAATCCCCTCGAACGGTCCATGTCAAGAGTGGGCGTGAAACGGTGATTCTCCAGGCCGCCCAACACAAATTTGGAGTCCCAATCTTCAGACATTCGCCCCAAACCTCGTTCTTTCCAGGCCGTCCGTATCGGCGGGACTGAAAACTCAGGTGTGCAACTGGAGGACCATTCTTACACTGGTTCGGGACACCATACATGATTCAAACTAGGTGTCGGCAAGGCCTGATCTTTTTTTCTGAATACAGTAACTCCCTTCTCCCAACAAAATTGCCATTTAACTGGTAAGGTTCTATTCCTGCATCACCACCCGCTGATAAGGATATTCATGTGATGTTATCTTTGTTGTTGATGATGATGATGATATACTTAACGCCACTATAAATCATACATAGGCAAAAACTATTCAAGTTGCTGCTTAGTCTATGGACTTCATTTCTGGTCGTCTGGGGGGAGGGCAGGCTATCCTGCTTGGAGGTGTTCCGGTTGAGTCTTTCCTGTGGCGTCAGCGCCTCCAAGTGTGGTGTGTCGGTTATTCGTGTGCATGGATCGGGGGGTCAATGCCATGCTGTTGTCAGTCTGATGGTGTCGGATGTCATGCTATAGATGGTGAGTCGGGCTTCTTCACCGTTCTGGTGCTGAGAGCGTCGCTCTATAGCTAGATAGATGGTGCTTATTCGTCTTGAGTTAGTACCCTTGTCTGCATCGACGTGCTAATTGGGGAACGCTCTCGCCGTATTGCAAGTCCGCGGAAGCCGTGGCCCTCACGCCATCCCCCCCATTTATGTTATCCTTGTTAGGATATCTAGTCAACCACTAGTGGACCTACTGAACGTCGAAACACTGATAGCTCGATGAGACATTTGCCATCCGCATTCTGTATTATGTCTTCGACACTGTTACCCTGGTTATATGTGTATTACAATGTGATTTAAAATCTCGGATTGTCTTTACTGTACATTGAAATCTGAACGGTACTAGGTCAGTCGCGAAGACTTCATTTGCCTGATTAGCATATATCATATACAGGCAAGGTGAGATTGCTTAAGAGGTCTTTCCCAGAAGTGTAGGGCTTCTATCCATGCTGTAATGTCTGAAGTCTCGAGACATGGCACCTGCGATCCAACATGGTCATTAACGAGGAGACAAACCAAAAAACACGGATCATGGCACAAAATCTCACAAGAAGGCAAATTCGATTTCATGCATTTCAAGACTTGACAGCCCTCGATCACAACCCCGTTAATAAGCCCCATCCAACGATTTCTTCGCCAGGACGTTCGTGTCAGAATAAGCATCGACCTTGGTCTTTGCAAACTTCCTCGCCGACACACCCTGCTCAAACAGCATGTCCAACTCGGCATAGGTGCGTCCCTTGGGCTCGGGCAGACGGAAGTAGACCCAGATGACGCAGCAGAAGCACGTGCCGGCCCAGAAGAAAGCAGCGCGCGTCGACCAGTTCCAGGCGGCGCTCGAAAGCTGGTAGTTGGTCATGACGTTGACGAAAATGTTGGACGTGTTGTAGGCCGCGCGCGCCAGGACGATCGTCTTGGTCTTGAGACGGGTCGAGGACAGCTCCGAGATGAGCGAGTAGGTGACGGGCCCCACGGTGAAGTCATACACAAAGGTGAAGAGGATGAGGAAGCCACGCCGTGGCCCACAGCGAGGCGTTGTTGCGGCCAAAGTACAAAGAACCGACGACGATCAGGATGGTGAACTGGCAGACGAGTCCGGAAAAGTGGATCTTGCGCCTTCCGACGTAGGACATCAAGAACCACGAGCCGATGACGCCGACGAGACCGAGGCCGGAGTTGGCGATGGACAGGTTGAGGGAGTTCGTGGGATCCAGACCGGCCTGCACCATCACGAAGGTGAAGTACCCCATTAGGTTCTGGCCTCCCAGCGTCTGAACGATCCAGAGAATGACGACAATTTCTGTGCGGCGAAGATCGGTGCCCCGGAAGCAGTCGCGGTACGATGTGCCCTCGCTGAGCTCGGCCTCGCGGGCGTTGGTGTACTCGATCATGGCGAGCGTGTTTTCGACATTGACGCTGGGCTGATCGCGCTTCGTGAGGCGCACAAGAGAGTGGCGGGCCTCTTCTCTCCTGTTGTGACGGACGAGCCACCATGGTGATCTTTTGGGGGCATGTCAGTCATGTCATGAAAGGGTCCAACCGCCGGACTTACTCGGGAGCAAAGATCAGGCCAATGAGGATGGGGATAGGCCAAACCCACTGGACGGCGTAAGGAACACGCCAGCTCCAGTTGTCTGGCCTGTTGATGGTCGCGCGGCAAATACCAGAGCTGAGAAGCTGGCCGATGACCTGGGAATTGTCAGCAGCGTGTTTCACGAGAACATGTCACAGCGAGCGAGCTGTAACGTACCCAGCAAGCATTGATAAAGGTCGTGCAGAACGGCCGCAGAATGACCGGCGCCACCTCACTGGCATAGGCCGGCGTCACCGACTGGAAGGCGCCCCAGGGGATACCGCAGAGAATCTGGCCGACGACGAGAACCTGGACGTTGGGCGCGAAGAAGAGGATGAAGATGAAGGCGATCATGGCCGCGAGGTTGGCCATGGTGGTATAGCGGTAGCCCCAGCGATCGGTCATCCAGCCGGCAATGATGAGGCCAAAGACCTCACCGGCGCGGGCACCGTTGGAGAGGCCCGACTGCCAGGCGGCAGAGATGACGTATTTGCCGCTGGCCTCGTGGAATTCGCCAAAGTACTTGGTAAAGTGCGAGTTGCCTGCAAGGGGGTGTCAGACAGACTCTATAAAAGGGATAGACAGACTCGAACATACCGTAGAGGTTTCCGAGCAGCGCAAGATCGTAGCCCTCCATGATAAGGGTGCTCGACAGCAGAACAGACCAGGCGATGGCCTTGGGATATGCCTTGATGGCCTGCAGGACGGTCATGTTCTGCTCGGCATCGGCCGCCTGCTTGGCCTCGGAGGCGATGGCCCCCGGCGCAACGGCCGTCTCCTCGTGAGCCGTAGCCATCTCCTTGTCCTTGGGGAACGACTCGCTGATGGGCTTTTGGTCGGCCATGCTGTCAAGCCAAGTCGACAGAGAGCAGTGGTAAAGGTAAGGGATGAGATGCCGGTTGAGAGGTTGATAGTGGCGATGTACGATGAGACGTGGGCATCAATGTCCTTTTTATCCCCAGAGTGTATGCATCCCCTCGGCGCTAAGGAGAAGATTGTCTGGTCTGTGACTTATGTCGTCCCAACGAGCGAGCCCAGTCCCATGGGTTGCGAGCTGGGAGCTGGGGTGGAGAGGCGGAGGGAAGAAGAATACTGTGGAGAAGCCTGGGGAAAGGCCATGAACCCACGTTGACTGTCAGACAGGGGGGGCACCCAATGTCATGAAAGACGTGAGAGTTTGCTGTGAGCCGAATGAGTTTACAGCTGACAGGGGTGAGACTCAAGTTCACCCCCCCCCCAATTCGGAGAAACCTCGGGGGGGGGGGGGGGGGGGGGTTTGCCTAATTTTTGAGGCATTTTTTAAATCCCCAGGGGAAAAATAATTTTTTTCCATACCCATTTTTTTAAGTTAAAAAGGTTATTTTAAAAAAAAAAAAAATTTTTAAAAGATTTTTATTTTATATGGGGGATTTTCTTT